TGAAGCGTTCGGTCACAATCAGGTTGTTGATGCAAATCAGCCGTCATTCACTAATCACGGTAAAGCAATCATTATGATCGGGCACATACAACATTCATTCCGTAAAAATTGTAGTAAAATTGTAAAAAATGTATGGTTTGAAGCTCTATATTATGTACGAGTGGTCAGTGACTGAAAGGCAGTGCTTTGCAGAATCTACCACCGGATCGGAATCGCGACCCAGTGAGAACATCCAGCGAGAAACTCAGTGGGCTGTGTCTATAGAGGACGATGACCGGTCCTTGAGGTACCTTAAAGCACCGTTAATGGATAGGGGCGATCCGTAATGACGTGTTTAGGGTGACGTCGAATGTTTACCATTTGGTCCACAGGATCAGGCATGTAATTACTGGCGGTTACGACAAGAGAGTTTTCATGTCGTGCCGCATTCTCAAAGTGGCGCAATGATGCCGACTGTAGATTCTTACTGACTGAGTCAAGTTCTAGGTCATCATGGGGATCCACGTTCCTTAAGAACCATGGTGCTCCGACGGCTATCCTGCAAAAACGGGATTGAATGATTTGAAGGGGTTTCATGTGGGTGCGGGCCGCGTGACCAAACACTACTCTTGCATAGGTCATGACGGGGCTTATGCAAATTTTGTAGAGTGTCACCTTATTACGAAGGGACAATTTACTTAGTTTGCAAATCATAGGATAGAGGCGTTCTAATATGAAGGTTGCCTACCGTTTTGATGTGGGGACGGAATTTCATCCCTCTGTCGAGGGTGACGCCTAGATATTTGACCTTCGAGGCCCACGGTATGGGCTGGCCAAAGAGAGCGATTAGGCTAATGAAGGTGTTAACGCGCCTATTAGGGAGTGGGCTTCTCGAAGTGGTATTCGGAGGGCGACCCCTTTTGATGAGCATCGCTGTGCTTTTCGTGGGATTGATGTCAATGCGCCACTTCTGGAACCACTGTCCCATGATGGCCACTGCGATCTGGAGTCACCGATGCAGTAACAACTTCTTCCTACACAAGTAGTAGATAGCCGTGTCATCGGAGAAGACCGCCAGATGGGTCTCCGGAGATCGGGGTATATCATTGATATACAAACTGAATAATAACGGGGAGGGCGAGGAGCCTTGTGGGACTCCGGCCGTCAGCTGACGGGGGCGAGAGCGAGTTCCCTCTACTCGATATCGAAACGAGCGACTATAAGATCGCGGAGTCGGCTCGATTAAAATAATCTTTTTCATTCTCTTAAATGGAAGAATGAGTTCAACCCCCACCCTAGAGTTTATCGGTTACAAATAATCCAAAATCATCACAACGTAAATGCCCTCGTCCGCCTTCTCCGCGGTTTTTTTTACCATCTCCCGATGCACGTGCATCAAGGCTTCTTGCATAACATGTGTCAGTCAATTAAATCAATTCCACTGCTTTAATGATACATCGTTGATGACCTATTCTGTAACCCGTTATACACGGCATACTCTTCTTCGCCTCAATTTAAAAATAATTATGTAAATATTCATATTATTTTCAATAACATTGAGTGTGAACTTTTGACGGAGGTGACGGCACCGTCCTACTTATATCTGGCAAAAACAACACGTTTTCCGGTTTAAAGGTATCGTCTTTGTTTCAATACGACCGAGGCTTAGACCTCATGTCTCAAGATGAGTCATGAATTGGTGTTATATTCCGCACATGCTTCAGTAGTCGTTTGACCCAAACCGGCCGTGAGTTAGAGTGGATGCACATGCCCGCGACGCCGCACTACGTCATCAGTCCGCCGGGGCACGGAGGCGGGGCGGCGACGTCTGCACTGCACACTGCTCGCACTCTGACATTCAAACACTTACTACACGCATTCATTACATCTACTATGTTTATGCAACGTATTGTGCAGATCTTAGGAAGTGAATCTTACAATAACCAATTCGTCTTTTATACTATTAATTTTCCCTGTTTTGTAATATATAGGAGACACAGCACTGGTAGAGGTGAGAGTGACCGGCCAAGTGGCTGCCAAGCGTTTGGGGTCTTGGAGGTTACGTGAGGTCGGCAAATACATCAATTAATAAAAAAATTAATTGTTTAAAAAACAGAAAATTTTAAAAATCTTCAAATAAAACGTACTTTTAATTTTTTTTTTGTGATTTCTGTTAAATAATCCTTTTATTAAAACTCTATCTGTGCTAAAGTAGCACAGAATAACATTGAGAATAATATTATTATTTTATCAATTTCGTAGATTGAAGATGATTAATATGAGCTCCACTGTATGGAAGAGTACGGCTGAGTTGATTGAGTTTGTCCGACTCAGCACACTCAATATTCAGACCAGTTCGACTAAGCGGAGATGATCTCGAGGAGTATGATCATATCGTTTGAGATTTCCTGTCAAGTTGTCTATGAGTTCCAGTAATCGCTTACCACTAGGTGGGTTGTCAACTTATCTTCACAAGTAAGTCAAGCAAGACACTGAAAGAAAGACTCAACAGTGATTAATTGCTCGGGTTGATTTTGGACTTAGCGGTCTTTGTGAAAAATGACTAATGATGTTTTTTCTGTTTAAAATCTAAAGCTTGTAATTCAATTAGCTCTTTTTTATCAAAATAAGTAATGCTCATGATCACCGTATATGTGACCTTTTGTTGACCTTTAAACTTGTGTAATGAAATCACTTGAAGCTTTTAGTTAAATTCTTAGCGCTTGTAAACAGAACTATTTATGTATATTATTTAATTACTACTTATTCTGCTATGTTCATCTTCCTGCAGGTTTTGTCAATGCTGTTTGTTGTTTATTAGAACTAGTATTTTCGGAAGGAAGTTGTCATGTTAATAAACATGTTAATTTACTAGGCTCCGAAATGTTACATTATACGACTTGTACTGTATGGTATTTACAAAGGAATTTATTTTTTGTTGCTATAAAAAATCCGTACTCTCCGCAGAGCATAGGGCAGATGATATTGAGATAATTAAAGTGCCCCCGTTGACTCGAGGACGCAAAGGATACACGAGCTCCGCGATACGAATGTATGTTTTCGTTCGGGCTCCGCTCTGTGGAAGACTCCCAACATTTCAGAAGTCAACCAGGCTTTACTTCCCAGACTATTCCGAAACTGAACACCGCTCAAATATTACAATTGTAGGCTTTTACTAAACGAAATAGATTTTTTTTATTGCTTAGATGGGTGGACCAGCCCATAGACATCTACAACGTAAATGCGCCACCCATCTTGAGATATAAATGCTAAGGTCTGAGTATAGTTACAACGGCTAGCCCACCCTTTAAACCGAAACGCATTACTGCTTCACGGCAGAAATAAGCGGTGATACCTACCCGTGCGGACTCAGAAGAGGTCCTACCACCAGTAAAATCAGAGTTAAATGGTTAGAGATTTTGTTGTTGTCATCGTCCCTCTCTCGCAGTGCGTGAGTGAGGCTCTAAGCATGGGCGCGGGATGTCACACTACTCGTTTGTATATCAGATGCACTTCAGATGTACTCTACTAGTCGTTCATACATGGACCACAGAGATGACATAGCGGGGAGTGAGTGAAAGCTCAGGGAGGATCATCATTTTTAGGGCTGATATAATAATGATGACACCTGTTAAAACTAGCCCACTAAGTTTCTCGCCGGACCTTCTCAGTGGGTCGTGCTTCCGATCCGGTGGTATCATAGATTCTGAGAAGCACTGCTCTTGCTAGGGCTAGTTTTAGCAAATTGATTAGGTTAGAGTCCCGTGAGCTCACCCCTAGGTTGGTGAATCTAGTATGACCCCTCGAGGTCAATAGGTAGGATACAAAAAAAACTTAAAGGCAATAGCTGTTAACTTACAAAAGTTTGTGAAATAAGGTAAGTTGAAAGTTGTATCTTAAAGGAATTTAAAAAGTATTCAGTTTTGCCCGAAATACTCTAAAATAATATATAATATCATAATCATAAATACTCATACAAACTGACCCGTAAAACTCCCAACTATTACTCGGATAAGACTTTTCATTATTAAATTTATTATTGTTGGTACATTAAGTAGTTTACCGTGAATTTAGTAATTTAGATAAATAAACAAAGCAATATTTGTCGATGTGTATATGTATTTGTGTCGGATCCACAACCTGTCCGCCGACCTTCTGTTTGCAACACACGGCGCATGCGCGACAACCTCTCCACGCACACACAGACACACACACACGCAATTCCAGAGCAAATTTATACCCAAAAAATTGGTGAGCCATTTATTACTAATCAAAATATAAGACGAACATTACATTACGTTACATTACATGCTTATAGCGGACGAAGGAATCAAAATTTCATATGTTCTTATCTGTTTGGTTGGAATAAAATGTGTTGGTCATCCGTGACCAGGAACACGCTGGGTCACAAAGTGCGTTGTAAAATAAACAATGTACAAGTGCTTAAGTTCACTAAGACCTTAGACAGTACTAAAGTTCACGTACAGAATTATGAAAAGAATATCTAGTAAATAACTAGCTCCTACTAAATAAGTTAGCTCCTGTTCAATTAAACTAAATTTTAACTTTGTCGTATTGTAAAAAAATCGTATGATATCTAGCTTATTATTTGTTATTTAAAATTGTCAGTTAAAATTACAAAGACTTCAATTACCGAAACAATAACCCAATGAAAATTACAAATGATAATATTTCAAATTTGGAAAACCTCGGAAAAGCACTTTTTACTATCTCATTGAGAGCGTCAGAACTGAAAGTAGCGTTTTGTTATAAATGGGAGCTTAAACTTAATAGCACAAGCTGCAAACACATCCGGGAAACTTTTCTTGAAGCGCGTTACAATAGACATATAGAAGATAAACTTTACCAAGGAAATTTATAAATATGTACAACTTTAAAATAAAATTTGTTACCAAGAAAATATTCTGAAATGTGAATAATATTTGTTTGTAATTAGCTGTATGTATTCTAATTGTTTTGTTGTGAATGCGTGTACAGATAAGAAAGAATATATTGCTCACCATGTCTCCGGCTGTTGACTAGCACAAACACATAATCCGTAGCGAGCGAGGCGCGGGCGCTGCGAAACAACGGGCCGCCGCGCGCCGCTCGCCATATATACAGGCCCAGCCCGCGCCGCCCCGGACGACACAGCATCACCTGCGGTTTCACATCTATACGACAACCTTTTTCATATTTATCAAATGTACAACAGTTTACAATGATGTGTTTCTTATTAAGTGCCTTTTTTGTTTTTTTATTGCCCGTGTAGGCAGAGGAGCATACGGCCCACCTGATGATGAGTGGTTACCGTCGCCCATGGATTTCAGCAACACCAGGGGCAGAACCAAGTCGCTGCCTACCATTAAGTACTCTCCACAAGCCTTGTTTGAAGAATATCTCTAGAAACGCACTGTGAATGAACGCAGTGGTTCCAGGTAGAATGGATGAACTCTACTCCGGTGGCGGGCGGTGCGATGCTAAAAACGAGATGATGGTATCATCTCAAACAATTCCTCAGAGCACTCCCCATAAAAAATACGGTACAAAATACAGCGGGAACCGAAGTCCTTCTGCAGACCCAGAGGTTCCAAACGATCCGTGAGAATGGGATAATCGACAATCCGAAAGGGCACTCTTCTGTATGGAAGAAACCGGAACTCGATCACCAAACAGTGACCGTGGCATTTTTATGGGTTAAAATTTCGTGTAGGACATCACCTAGGTGCCAAACCAGGCCTTAAACTAACACGATGATCGCTTACAATTATCAAAACCATTGATTTTTCATCACAAATAACAATGTGGTTCAAAATCCCTTCGTTTTTGCATTTGTTCAGTAACGCAAGGCATACCTTAACGCATTCGTCGCGCTGCTGATCGTCCTGTTCGTGCACACACACACGACTTTTGAAGTGTTTTTACCGAGCCGATTTAACGCAAATGGACCAATATTGTTTTGATGCTACGAGTAGCGATGAAATCGGTACAGTCGTGCGTTTGTTTCTAGTGTTCATCTCATAAACGTTATTAATGTCATGTGTCGTTTTTTTTTAGGACGAAGGATTACTGGAGGCCCGGAGGCCTTTCCAGTTTCACTAGGACAGGTAAACGAGCTCAGCCAGGAGGGGTTGGATTTGCTAATAGCTGCCCGAGCGCGTCAGAAGGAGACCTAACAACTCAAGAGCAGCTGCTTCTACTACCGGATCGGAATCGCGAGAAGATCAGATCAGAAAAGATCAGGCGAGAAACTCAGCGAGTTGATGCATGGGCTAGGTTGCACATCGACCTCTTTGTCAAGTTCGTCGAGTACGGTTACGAGGTCCCTAAGCCTGCTCCTAGTGTTAGAGCTGAAGGCGTCTGAATGCAAAGGTTATTGGATCTGATGGATCCGTAAGGACGTGTCTAGGGCGTCGACGGTGACTGGCTCCTGCGTGATCAGGATTCGGGGAGTAGTCAGCGGCGGCAATGATAAGGCAATTTTTTTTTTTTATTCCTTAGGTAGGTGGAGTCGCTTACAGCCCACCTGGTGTTAAGTGGTTACTGGAGCCCATAGACATCTATGACATAAATGCGCCACCCACCTTGAAATATAAGTTCTAAGGTCTCAAATATAGTTACAACGGCTGCCCCACCCTTCAAACCGAAACGCATTACTGCTTCACAGCAGAAATAGGTGGTGGTACCTACCCATGCGGACTCACAAGAGGTCTTACCACCAGTAATTACGCAAATTATAATTTGCGGGTTTGATTTTTATTACACGATGTTATTCCTTAACCGTGGAAGTCAATCGAGAACATTTGTTGAGGACGTATTTTATTAGAAAAATTGGTACCCGCCCGGGATTCGAACACCGGTGCATCGCTCAACACGAATCGTCTTATTCCTTAGACCACGACGACTTCATATTTATGTACCATGAATTATCATGACGGAGTCGTTTGTGCGGCATTGCTGCGACTGCGACGGACCTCGTATCTACATGGACTACATAGATATCAATGTAGGGAAAACAAAACACTAACCAATAAACAAAAGGCTGAATTTCAATATATAATTCTGTATTTTAAAATAAAATCCACTTGAATTTAAAATGTATTGCCAGCCATACATATTATTATGTATGTTCACGTTACGTTTGAAATTGTCAGTATTGTAATACGAAAACTTCATAAGTAAAGAGACCTATTACTGTAACAGTCTTTACCCAGTAACTGCAAACAACGGACGGAGCTTTATCTGATATCCAGGCTCTCATCCTCCCGGGGCTAGTGTTTATTGTTTTCATTGCTTAGATGGGTGGGCGTACTCACGGCCCACCAGGTTGCTGCTAGGTGGTTACTGGAGCCCATACAAATGAACGACGTAAACGCCGCCACCCATTTCGAGACATGAGTGCTAAGTCTCGGTTTTATGATACAACGACTGCCCCACTCTTCAAACCGAAACTCATAAATGCTTCACGGCAGAAACAGGCAGGGTGGTGATGCTTAACCATGTGGGCTCACAACACGCTCTACCACCAGTAATAACACCAATTACACTTTTTGCGGATTTGATTTTTATTACATGATGTCAATCCTTCATCGTGAATATTTGATAAGTACGTATTTATATCATTAGAAAAATTGGTACCCGCCTACGGGATTTGAACACCGGTGCATCGCTAGATACGAATGCAACGGACTTTTTATCCTTTAGGTAACCATGCTTTTAGTCTAACTGATTGCATAGTATTGGGAAACATGTGATTACAGGTTTTTATATTGTTTTATTACATTATTAAATGAACTGAAGTCGGGCGATTTATTAATTGATTATTAAAGATTGCTCATAGTGCAAATAGATTATTTTGTGACGATCTATCAGAAACATGCCCGTAACTGACCTCAACTAACTGAATTACGATTGTAGAATTAATTAGTGAATATAGCGTAGTGTCTTGTATAACTCGGCGAGTGCTCGTCGAGTCACGCGCCGGTCTCGATATATTGCTCTATGATCTACCAAGTGACCAGTGAACTAGTAAATACTCTGAAAATAAGAGTAAAATTTTCATTCCCAATGAAATAAAATTATTTAGTTATTAAATTTTTTTAAAGTTTAATGATATTTTTACGTGATAATTTGGTCAAATTCTTATTCTAAAATAGTGTAAAGGGAGTAAGGGAGAGCCTTTGAATCATTTTTATACTTACTATTGAATTGTCAATCATATTCCTCATTATTCACTAGAGAGAATCAAATTAGGAGAATGTTCATAAAAATATGAATTTACGTAATAAGAAAAATGTGAACCGCATTACCAATACAACAAGTCGTACCTAAGTCACATTCAATATATAGAATCGGTAGATATTTCTTAACGCGGAGTAAATACCAGAATTGAGAAAGCGTTAAATATTTGCGATTATATTATTACCCAAATGCTGCCTTGGAATCTGAATATTATCAATTTTTCATCCGATGTATTTGCTGTAATACCAACGTTAGTAAAATAGAAATTGCAAAATTAAAAAAGTGTGTAATGTTAGGGCTTAAGGCGAGCCCACACGGGTAGATACCTTCAGCATCCGGCTTGTTTCTGTTGCGAGCTAGTCATCCGTGCCAGCTTTAGTTCGGGGTCGTCGTACCCCCTTACCCAGGGCATGGAGCGGGCCCCGGGGCGAACCCAACTACCTGAACAGTAGTTCCCTGCCACTCAGGGTAGGGGTGAAAGTGATGCTGGGAGGACTAGGGGGTTCGTACGCTTGCTCGGCGCATCTACAAATGTATACATATATATAATAATGTTGGGCTTGATGATGCCCGGGGACAGTGCACCCCGGCGCCGATTGTTGTCATCTGCTTCTTTTCTTTTTTTGCTGGCTTGAATATTTAGATAACAGTTACCGAACAAGTGAGACTTTGTTCTCACGTGTGCCGATATCGAGCCCAAGTACACATGTCATTATATATATATGTACATACATTATGATATTTACAACATTGTGCATGTTTAACCCAATAATTAAATCCTCTATAGATCTCAGCGCACCATTATATGCCAGATAACTATTTCGAGTATAGGAATAAAAACTATCATTTATATATCGCGATATTGTGCTCACTATGTCGCCCGCGGTGATGGAGCAACGCGCATCAGTCTAATATTGCCGCGCTGAGTGCTGAGCCGCGTAGCATCGTCGAATGTCGACCACTACGGTTATAAAACTTCCACGATGCCAGCCAGGATGCTGCAGGCGGTACTCAACCAGCCCAATCCAGTGCTCGGCTGTGAAATATAACAAAACATAATGTATATTTAACCACTTCAAATTTAAAAAAATATTCTAATTTGATATTTAATTAATATTTAACGAGATTGCATTTCTTATGTTAGAACTATTTCTCGCGACAAATCATTTTAAATGTAAAATGAATATTATGTTCGGATTGATGGATCGCGATTTTTATGAAATATTCATTATGTTGATCAGATATCGTATGTCGTATTTCATTACGGCATTCAAAATAAAATATTAACCTCAAAATGTTGAATTTTATGTTAATTAAAATCAGTGTTTTGTAAAATGTGCAAATAAATGCAAAAAAACATTGGACTTCATCTAAACTGCATCTTCAGAGATCATATTCACGTTTTTCTTAAAATATAATTTTTTTTATTGCTTTGGTGTATCTATCACCGAGATCACGGCCCATCTAGTGTTAAATGATTAGGTATCATAGCTCGTATACACTAAAAGTGTAAATGTCGCTATACACGCAGATAGTCTCAGTTTTACAGTACAACGGCTGCCCCATCCATCAAACCGAAATGCATCACGGCAGAAATAAGCAGGGCAGTGATATCAATCCGCGCCGGCTCACAAGCCGCTCTACTACCGGTCACAAAATGCGGTAGTAACCTCGTAGCATTTTCATGAAACGGCTTTAAAGTCGTGTAAACCTAGTCTCTAACGAAGTCATCTTAAGCTCGGAAGCGGCTTGACTGTGTCGATGCTTAATCCCTGTAGGCAGGTGCAAATTTTTGTAATGAAATATGGAACAGAACTTAACAAATGTTCCTGAATGG